TTTACATGAATTATGCATACATCATACAACACAATGAAAAATGACTGCTCTACTTGGTGTAGAGTCCCAATTAACCTGTTGTAAAGCTTCTATGGTCTGAACAGGTTTCCAATTTAGCGTAGTCAAAAATGTCATGTTAGATTTAATCTCAAAAGTTGTCATTTGAAGGGTTAAAAGGCGCTAGCTATTTTGAGATGCAACCTGTCTTGATCCTCACCTTATATAGTTGAAACGGACAGTTGAATCTTATTAAAGGTGCTCTAAAGACATGTTTGAACTTGTTAACACTTATAAATCTTGGTACTATATAAAGTTATGGCATTTTTTGGAGAACTTTTGACTTACAATCGTATCAATGAAACTATAGCTAATCAATAAAGTACTTGTCATCTACCATAAATTGTGCAGATAATTCAAAATATAACTGCTTATTTCGCGGTCAGGAATGTGTTCAACAATATGTTCTATTCAATGTATTGGAATTCATACAGTACCCTTTATTCCCTTGATAGTATCAGCATAGTGCGAGAGGCTAATATACGCCCAATTCGCTTGAGAAATTCCGGGCAGTTCTTGACGGACCTGGTCCATAAATTATTTTACTTGCAGTGGGTCTTGTTTTTTTTGCGGATTAACTTCCACCACTTGTACCTATGCCAGCTGACAGTATTCAAAAACGCAGCATTGAACTTTTATCTACTCATGATCGTTAGATTTCACAATTGCTTTCATGTTGAATTCCAAAGTGGGCTTCTGTTGAGCTCTTAATTGCTGCCGTCAACACAAATAGGATTTTAAATTACATTCGAAGTTTTCAATTCACGGAAAAAAGGCAAACAAAATTATGACTCATAAAAAGGCCTCCTTCATTTTAATCGAATACCATTTCAAGCTCAAAGCACATTTCATTTTACGCATTTGCTTTCTATCGGTAAAAGTGACTCATACAACAAAAATAACAATTTAAATGTATATAGTTCAGTATAAAAATTTGTTTAATTAATATAGTTTAGTACGGGATGAGACATAGTTCAGAACTGCTGAACTTTGACGAAAACGTCACCCGAATTTTCCTCTCTCGAATCGAAATTCTTCTTTGTGTACTTAAACGAATGCGGAGTGAGCATAGTTATTAAGACTGAACAAAGCAATACCATCGCATACGAACATTATGGAATATGCGGAGGTGCTGCTGATTGTGTTAGGTAACAAGTGCGGTCGTAAGTGCTGAGACCTCTTAACCAATCACCATGCCACAGTAGTGTAACACCATGACCTAAGACTAAGCTTTGTCAGTGGACAGCAAGGAGTGATGAACGCTATCCATTCCATACACTTTATCTCCTTGGTATTTTTGATTTCATTCACCTCCTTTTTTATTTCTTTTGCACAAAATTATTCAAACTTCCAGAGGCCTCCAGTACACTAATTACAGATCTTGATTTTTGATTGAATGCGCTGGCAGCCAGAGTGAAACACACTGGTCTTATATTCTCTGATCATGTAGTATTCTTGAATTCTAGGTTTTTAAAGCTATATGACCTTTAAGTTATAAAGGCCCTGCTTCATCCCAACTTTTTCGAAAAAATGGATCAAAGTGTCAAATTTTTATTAAGTTAGAAGTTTGAACCTTGCTCTACTGAGAAGAGCGAGTAAACCTATGGCCGAGACTACTGGGATTAAATTTCGAACGAAGTTACATCAGCACTCTGTGAGACACGAATTACCGGAACAATTTTGAAGTTCCATTCAGTCACTGATAAATAATAGTCATGGGAATTTATGTAGGGTTAGGAACAGCAACTTAATGTACTTTTCAGAAAGTAGTAAAAATTGCAATTGCCAATTTAATTTTAAGTACCAATTACGCTACTATCCCCAAAAAGGGATTAACTTGAAAATGAGTGTAAAAAGTGGCTTGTGGTAAATCGATTTTGGTGCTTTTCAGTACACGAATTCTTGAATATGTTTAGATTATATAGATTTTGATTAAGGCAAAATCTAACTTTGGTAAAAATTAATGCAAAGCATCCAATTCATTAATTCAAATCAATTCAATATGAAATAATAACGCGTCTGCTTACTCATCTGCATTCGCAAAAAAATGGTTGGCATAGCAACTACGTGAATTCTTTGTCTGACTTTCAAATGCATAGGTGACATCATCCAAGTTCCTTTCCACACCGCTGATTGGCTAATAGCCAATCGGAATGTGCGCACCTGTGTGGGTGGATTTTTAGGGCTTTTGTAGGGCTATATAAGAAGCGGAAAATGGCCTTTAGGCGCATTAGCAATATAGAACAATGCAGAAAAAATTAGCACCACTAAAGGAAGAAGTTAAAAGCGTGGAAATTAAACGCCCTGATGCAAGCCATTCTTGGGGAATATGCTACGCTGTCCTACCCAATGGTCCAGAGATTCTCAAAGTGCGTTTATTTGTTAATTTTTAACAATATAACATATTGTAAATAGATTATAAGTTATTAATTGTATGATATTTGTTGTTATCTACGAAAGTAAACAAGTGGGTTTATCGAAAAAAACATGAAAGATATAGAATATTAAATATTTACGCATTAGTCACAATACTTTTTAATTATAATTTTGAATATAACTTAATATGTGTAGATCATTTTGACTTCATAAAGGTAATGAATGAAAGTCCCGCATATGGACACCTTCGCAGCGGGCAGGTAATAAAATCTGTCAACGGACAATCAGTTCTCGGTTTGAAGAGGGAGGATATTGCAGAACTCTTGAATATTGATGAAGAAGTTGCTGTACTTGAAATTATTGAGTAAATAGTGGATTTTTCATTAACACTTTCCTAGGTCTACTCCAAATGATGGAAAACCGGTTACCTTCGGAAGAGAATATGGCAGAAGTTCAGTCGAACCGGGGAGTTTTCGCAAGTTTTAGATTGGATTTATATTCGAGGATTTTCAATTTCGAGGCCTTGTAATTGTCTTTTTCCAAACAGAAAGGACCTATCGGCGAAATAGTGAAATGTCCTTCAATACACAATACAAAAGAAGTAACGCCTGTGTCGCCATGCCTACGAATCTTCCGAACTGTCGAGATGAATTTGAACGTATTCATCGAGAGCGCAAGCGATCCCGTCAACTGACAATAAAAGAGTTAGAAAATCTCCGATTCAAACGTTCAGCATCAGTGGATGTTTTAGAAGGTGAACGTCAAAAGAGTTCAACAGGAGGCTCCCTGGTTCCAAGAGAAGACATTTCAGGAATTGACAGTCTTCATTATAGAGGTGTGCACATTCCATCACGATCCTTCAGAGCTCTCGCCACGCTAATGGGAATGGATCCGGATGGAACAAATGTGAACAAAATTAGCACCAAACCAGCCGTAAAAGGTGAGACCACCTTGATTGATTGATATATGTGCAATTTTCCCATAAATCGTGCATATTTTATATGTAACTATACTAATTATTAGTTTACTGAAGTAAAATTGAAACATTAAATTTTTCGTGTTTGATATATTTAATTAAAAGAATGGAAGTATGATGAAGGCTTTCATTAATCTAGAACCTTGCCGAACTGTGATAGATGTCAGAGCGGCTGCCGAAAAGATGAAGAACGAGACCCTTCGACGTACATCTGTCGAAAGCAGTGGATCTTTGCCCCCACATCCCCCAGTCTCCCTGAAAGCCCTCTGATCGTTTTGACCCTCCTTTCCCCTCAAGCACCCTGGCTATTTATTTATTAAAATATTATTATTGCTATAAAATGTGACAATGGCTCACTTTCATCAAATTTTTAAATTCGGGACTTCATACCACTTGTTAATGATTTGATGAATTGTATTTAGGAAAAAGGTTTCAGAACTAAACCAATTTCCTAATCTACGGACTCCCTTGGTAGGATCTGTTGATAGTTCTATTTAAAAATAGGCAATTAGTGTGTAGCCGATTGCTACACTAGAAAAGCAGAATCTCCCATATCAAACTATCTTTAGCTACAGTCCAGCTAAAGAGGAAACAGACGTATCGCACGGAGCACTTTTATTTAGGAAGTATATTGTGGTAAAATTGTACGCGCCATAAGCTTAGTCATAATCAAAATGGCGGATCCACTTAAACAAACGAAGGCTTCTGATAGGCCATTGGTTGCGCGCATGAGATCACGCGTTAGGCGATGACGTTCCCACAAGTGGGGTTGCCGAATTTGGACCAACTTTCGAGAGAGTGGGCTTCAAAGGCCACCTAATATGCGCGAAGTTTAATGGGAGGGGGGGGGGAGTTGTTACCTTAGCAATGTCTCTATCCAGAATGCAATCAATATTTTTAACGAAATAACCTAGGCATAGTGCTCAAAATCGTTATTCAACAGACTGATATTTAACATTTCTCCCAATTAAATCAAGTCTGAATTAAACACTTTGAGCCATTGTTTTTTGGTGCGGACTTTAATAAAACGTATTTACCGTAAAATTTCGACAAAAAATTATTACATGCTTGAGTTATATCCTAAACACTTACTTAAATGTGTCAAAAATGGTAAAATGCTTTTATTCGAAATTTTGTGGCTTGTTATATTCCATGTAAATAATCTATTTTTATTGAATCACACCATCTGTTGCTAAAAATAAGTCGAAAAATTCAATTTAACCAGATCTGCCTGAGTTCAAAGCATAATCGACGAGAATAATTGATTTGTTATTTGGACAGAAACAAGTGCAGTCGAAAGACAGTGGAATATTTCACTTTTTCCAATTGTCCCATTATATAATTATTACCCAATGAATGAATGCAATCATAATAGATTATTTTTCCAACTTGAATAATAAAATACATAGAGGCGATAATTTGTTATTCAAAAATATTATTAGTACCTACTGCCAAACAAAATATTTACAGTAGCCAAGTAAGACGATAGGAAATGGACCGGACAGAAGCTTTGGTCAAATTAAGGGCGAGGAGACTGATAAAATAGGCGTGAATTTTCCTTGACTGATGAATTACCCTCGAACGTATCAAATTTATCTACTGAGATGATTACTAAATTTATATGACCTGTGTGGGGTGTGCGATAGACTTACCTCCACGTGGTGCAGCCTGGGCACCGTATACTCATACGGCGAAAAAGTCTATTAACTGGCAGTTGAACTCTGACTTCAAACTACCATAACCCCACTGTATGTCATATTCGACCCCTTCCACACTACTCATCTAGCCTTTTCTCTGCCTTTGTGTCTGTCTGTCTCTTTTACATCTGTGAATCGCTCTTCTTTTCCCCTGTCGAATTTTTCTCACTTTACTGTCCGAAGTCAACTAAAGGGCTAGTGATAATTATCAAAATGCCTGCCATTTGAAATAAATAAATATGACCTGTGTTCAGGCCTTATTAATGA